TAGAAGAAATTCTTGATTAAGAATGTCATCTCTAAATTTAGATAAGCATTTAATGATAGAAAGCATTTCTTTCTTTATAGTGGAATAATTAAATTGGGCTTTATCCCATTTACCAGAGGTAAATCTAATTAATTGCTCTTTATTAGTAGTTGGATTAATTTGTTTAAGGATACCTCCAAGTCAGGCTCAAAGCCCAAGCCCATCTAAAGCCTTTTATAAAGGTCTGGTCAATAATCTTATAAATGAAGTTAATCAGGAAGAAAATCCTGAGCCCTTCTCAGCTATAGTAAAAAATGAAGTACAATGGACTCCTAAAAAAGGATCAGAGACGGTTCTATATCTAGAACCAGAAGATATCTCTTCTATGAAAGATATTGATCATATCAGAACAAGATATTTAAATGATAACTATTATCCCACTTTGTCATTAAAATCTAGGTCATGGATGAGGACCTTAATTACACAAAAAGGAATGAAAATAACCCATTTCTGGGGATATAAAAATAGGACTATCTTACACAGAAGGGAATGGAAATAATCCATTTCTGGGGATCTGAAAACAGGACTATCCCTCCTAATTTTAGTAAATGCATAATTAAAGAGGTTATTTTACCTCGGAAATGGGTCTTAAACCCAAACCAAGATCTACCTTTGGTAAAAGCTCAGAATTCTAGCCAAGTTTATTCCTTCAATTATTGGGATTATAAGGAAGCTTTTTATAATATCTTCTTATACCAGAATCCCAAAAATAAACATACTTGGCTAATAAAGCTATGTCCAGAAGCTCTTCAAAAGGGTATTCCTTCTTGGTTCTACAATTGGTGGACGATTTATGGTGCTGAATTAAGCATCTTGCCTGAACCATTATCCAAATTATATTCTGCCTGGGTGGAATCTCACCCTGTTATTTCTAAAATGGAAGACAATAATATTGTCGAAGGCCTATGCGCTGTTCACTTCTTTTCTGAAACTGAAATTCCATGGATATGGACATGGACCTTTGAGTCTGATTGGGATAATCTTCATCTTCCTATCCTTAAAAGGAACCACTACTGTAGATGGTGGAATGGGATAAATGTAGAAGAGAAAGTACAGCATATTGAAGAAATTATAAAAAGAAATCATAGTGTTCTTAAAAACTCAATATCTCAAGAGATTAAGAAAGTTAACCCTATGATGCAGTTAGCTAAAATAATCAGGCGGAAATACCCGCAAGCTTCAGAAGAAGTATGATGCAGTTAGCTAAAATAATCAGGCGGAAATACCCGCAAGCTTCAGAAGAAGAAATTAAACAAAAATGTCTTGATCATATGAAAAGACAATTTTTCGAAGCTTTTGACACCATGGATACTCAGTCCAGTAAAAGTGTTAATTATTGCGGCGAAGAAAGCACTTTGCCAGATGCACAAGAAGAAGAAGATGAAGAAGACATCTGGAAAGCTGCCATGGGGATTCTTAATCAGACTCCAACATCTGACCTAAAAGGTAAAGGAAAAGACTTGTAATTATGTAAAGATAACAGGTCCCAATGAGCTGAGCCCCGGGGAGCCACTCATTTGATTCTATTCCTCAACTACTTCTCAAAGAAGCTTTTTCTAAAGGAACTTTTATAAAGCCCCTTTTAGAAAGTAGATGCTTTGTCAAGTGCGTTTGCCAGTGCAATGTCAGTGCGGTGTCAGTGCTTTAATGTTTTATAATGAATTCTGTAAATTATGGTTATAGTCTCAGATCCTGAGATAAAATTATAACCATGTGTTTTTATGTTTAAACTTACTGCAAATATATTTGGGTCAGTTAAAGATAAACTTAAGTTTGGATAGACATTAAAATAAACCGGCCCATTACAAAGACTAGTTTCCATTATGCCCATTAACGATTGGGTCCAATTTAAACATCTTGCATCTCTTAAACAAGTTAATATTGATGCATTTAATCCTTGGAGAGTCAAGGGTCTGAAAGCGACTTGTATTAAGCCTATGTGGATATAATTGTATTTGTCCATATAAGGTTCAATATCAACAGGACTAAGCAATTGTAAAGTTTGCTCATCACGATCTACAGTCGTAGTTCATTCAAGGGTTTTAATAGTTATTAAAGATTTATAATCCAAAAACCCAATTTTATAAATATCTTTATTAGGGATAGCAGGAATTGTCCATTTATTTAAGGTCTCAATTTCAGAAGTATATTCTGTACTTTGAGCATTGTTTACTCTTTTACCCTTATTAAGGGTTTTACTTAAGGCAGACGAGGAAGGAATTAGTTCTGACATAAAAACTCTTACAGATTTATTTATGTTAGACCTTTCATAAGGATATAAAATTATTATTTTTCTTTCTTTTCTTCAGAAATCAACCTAGTAAAAAGTCTACACGCCTGTCAACGATTTACACTACCCTTTCAACGCCATCTCGGCAACAACTGGGATTTATACTACGCGACTTTGTTGGCGTTCCATAGACATAAACTAAGCTCATAAAAGAAGAAAGGAAAGAACATATAATAATTCTATATTCTTACAAGAAGTCAAAACACAAATAAATCGTAAGAAGATCGTGATGAGCAAACTTTACAATTACTTAGTCCTGTTGATATTGAACCTTATATGGACAAATAAACTCGTTTAATAACTTTTCTAACTTACCGACAAAGTTTAATGTCTATGGAACTTTTCTAACTTATAGAATTTCTATAAAGGATGAAGTGGAAGCTACCATATTTAGCTTAGAGTTGTTAAACTTCTTAGTTAATAATTCTATTATATCAGAAGTTACTTCATCACCTCTTTTAAAACCTGAAATATCTATAGGAGGTTTTATCATAACCTTTGCCTTTCTGCTATCAGTGTTAATAATCTTATTTGTTTCTAAAATTTTTAATGAGGGTATCACTTCATTAAATTTATTTATTAATTTATCTAAGTCATCTTCAATTCTTGTTAATTGGTTTCCTACTATTTGAAGATGTAGATTTGTATAATTGTTTTGTTTTATTATCTTGTTTAACTCTTTAAGAGTTATATATGTTGATTCATTTTGTTTAACAAAAGCATTAGTTTCTAGATTACTAGAATGGATTCCAGATATTTTTAAAGCATCTGTTGGAGGATATATAGATCTTATATTCATACCAGTGGCAGATTTCCATTGTTTATAATGTTCTTCTATTACTCTAACTTGATTTGTTTGATTTTGTATATAATACTTTAAAAACCATGGTATAAAATATTCTATTTTTTTCTCTTTTTGCAAGTCTGTATAATACTTGTCTTTAAATTCTAGCTGTTCAGTTTTTGAAAAGCTTTTAAAAAACCATTGTCTAATTTCTTTATGTTTTCCTTCATAAAATTCTTTATTAAGAAACTTTTTTATATCTTTGTTTTCTTTAATATTCATTTTAACCAGGCATTCTAAAACTCATTTCAGAGCTGGTTGGAGAGTTTCTCTCCTTTTCTTTATTGTATAATCCATGAGGAATATTATTTTCTGAGATATTAATGCCTTTAACATCATTCGTTCTATAAGAACCTGATCTAGAAACAGAGACTGATTTTCTAGATGTACTAGTAACATCAGATAATCTAATAGTTCGAGAAGGATTAAATATAATTTCTACTTCTCCATCAACCGTCTGGGTTATTTGATCAATTTCTTGGTTAATAATTGGTTGAGGTTGAACAGCGTTAGGTATGACCCAACTGTCAGGGAAATTTATCTCATCCCATTTAATTTGTCTATTAGATGATAAAACATTAGTTTCAACCAGTACTGTTTTTCCTGGTTTAGAATGAATCTTAGCTTTTGGAGCTAAAGATGTTAATGTTTTATAATGAATTCTGTAAATTATGGCTATAGTCTCAGATCCTGAGATAAAATTATAACCATGTGTTTTTATGTTTAAACTTACTGCCTCAAATATATTTGGGTCAGTTAAAGATAAACTTAAGTTTGGATAGACATTAAAATAAACTGGCCCATTACAAAGACTAGTTTCCATTATGCCCATTAACGATTGGGTCCAATTTAAACATCTTGCATCTCTTAAACAAGTTAATATTGATGCATTTAATCCTTGGAGAGTCAAGGGTCTGAAAGCGACTTGTATTAAGCCTATGTGGATATAATTGTATTTGTCCATATAAGGTTCAATATCAACAGGACTAAGCAATTGTAAAGTTTGCTCATCACGATCTACAGTCGTAGTTCGTTCAAGGGTTTTAATAGTTATTAAAGATTTATAATCCAAAAACCCAATTTTATAAATATCTTTATTAGGGATAGCAGAAATTGTCCATTTATTTAAGGTCTCAATTTCAGAAGTATATTCTGTACTTTGAGCATTTTTTACTCTTTTACCCTTATTAAGGGTTTTACTTAAGGCAGACGAGGAAGGAATTAATTCTGACATAAAAAATTGGTATCAGAGCCATGCTTGGCTAAATATCTTCTTACGATTTATTTGTGTTTTGACTTCTTGTAAGAATACAGAATTATTATATGTTCTTTCCTTTCTTCTTTTATGAGCTTAGTTTATGTCTATGGAACGCCACCAAAGTCGCGTAGTATAAATCCCAGTTGTTGCCGAGATGGCGTTGAAAGGGTAGTGTAAATCGTTGACAGGCGTGTAGACTTTTTACTAGGTTGATTTCTGAAGAAAAGAAAGAAAAATAATAATTTTATATCCTTATGAAAGGTCTAACATAAATAAATCTGTAAGAGTTTTTATGTCAGAACTAATTCCTTTAGCCTGAGAGGATAGTAACATGAAGCAGCTTAGGGTTTTCTTATCTTAAATTATCTTAAGCAAGTGAAAAATAACCATCTACTAACAAATTTACGTCTACAAATTGTTTCCTTGTAAAGACTTCATTATCTACTGCTGCGACTAAAGATTGGGTTTTAGCTCCTAAAAGATCTAGCACACCAAAGAAGCTCAATCTCGTTCGTTGACAACAAAAATCGAACTTTACCAGCGGAAAAAAAAAGGGATCAGTCACTCACTTGCGAAGAGCAGGAGCCATCTTGTTCGTCAAAGTCCCAGCAACAATCATACAGTCCGACTGCCTCGGGCTCGGCCTAAAGATCACCCCAAATCGATCCAAATCATACCTCGCAGCTCCAGTATGCATCATTTCCACAGCACAGCAAGCCAGCCCAAAGGTCATGGGCCAGATCGACCCACGGCGAGCCCAGTTCATGAGATCATCGACCTTCGAGATCACGAACTCCGACGCCTTTGAAAGGCCCGCCGGAGAAGAGGTCGACGGCGGCGGAGCACGCCCGTAGGGGGGCGGGGGCGGTGGAAGGAGAGGCCGAGGAGTAGGTGAGGGATTGGATCAGGGAGGAGGAATGCTGGGATGAGGTCAGTGCGAGGCGAGCGGTGCGAGGGAGGAGAGCCATGGCGAGAATTAGGGTTAGGGTTCGGGATTTGGGGGGTTTTTTCTGGGGGAAGAGCGAGGGAGGAATCAAGTCGCCGGGTCGAGTGGAAGAGGATGGCGTTAAGTCGGCGAGTTTCGTGTGGCGTTTGAGGATTGAGCACGCGTCTAAGCGGTCCGTGTCTGGCAATTGGGCTCATGAGTTGTGGGTTGGGCCCTTGAGGATGAATCAAGGCCCAAACGTTACATGAACTAATAATAACCCCATAATAAAATAATGAATAAATGCTATATTACCCATCCAACGTCGTAGAAAGAAAGTGGTTTTAACTCACATATATGATATATAATTGTTTTTCTCTGGCAAAGTAACATCGGCGGTAATGGACAAGGGTCGTCTGAGATTCTGATGTGGGTTTGGGTAACAATTTGTTTGATAATGGGGTTTTCTAGATTTATACCCCTCAAATTGAAGGTAATTTTAAATTTGTCCTCTGCATTATTATATTTCTAAATTGTCCCCTCTTGTTGTTTTGTTCGCGCAAATTTAGCCCTCACCTTATTTAATGTTAAAATTTGAAGAGCTTTTAGGGTTAAATTACATCTACCTTGCTATTTCAAAGCTTAAAGAAAAACCAACTCAAATCCATTATAAATCTAAATTTCGGCCCTGTGTATGTTCTTCTATCGTTCGCATCTTCACCTTTCTCCGCCAAAAGAAGAAATGCCGATCCCAATCACAGTTTACTCACGAGAAAGATACTTTCCATCTTCGAATTTAACCATCTCCAAATACATTGCAAATTACAACACCTCGTCTTTTTTTTAAGAAACCAAGGATTCTATCGCAAGGCATCAAGCATAATATCAATACAAATATGGTTTGGACCTTCACGATTCTCCAATAATGAGGTACATTTATATTTGTAGGCAATTTGGGCTAACTAATGTGCACAAATAACGCCTCATTGAAAATTAAATAACGCCTCATTGAAAATATAGAAAACGAGGATGAAGTGGGGGATGATAAAGCTCTACCCTGAAGAAATAAAGCACACTGTTGGTGGACTTAAATGAGAAGAGCAGCGGACGAAATGCTACTGCACATGAAAAGTACCAAATAGAGAATGCGTATACAAAAAAACAAATTATCCAATCCAATAATGAAAAATAACCATTACGAATTTGTAAATCAAAACTGGTTTGTCTAGGCATTACAAATGGGTGACTAGTTTTCTGATCACATATACCTTGTACTGCCTATCCCAAGCCAGTATAAAAAGGATGAGGGTTGTGTTAGGTAGCCGACGGTTATCGTAAAACATAGTCGGATCCACATGAAAAATGAATCATATTATATACTCATTTGGGCATCCCCATCGCGACGCATTGCATCGATGTCATCCAAGTGCAATGATAAGTAAGTCAGGGCGGTTTGCTAGGGCGTCCCCCGGATAGGCCTGTCCATCCGGGCCGGCCCGGTTTATTTTTCTTTTTAAAAAAAAAATTAATCAAATTTTTTTAATTTTATTTAATTTTAAATTATACAAAAAATTAATAAAAATTAATACTTTTATTAATCACTTAAAATAACATAAATTATAAATAAAAAATTATAAAAATAAATTCTTTATTAATAATTAATAAATCATTTACAAATTACAAGTATAAATTTATTTTGGAATTCATCGTGTCACAATAGATAAGTACATCCCAACTAGTTTTTTTTTAATTTCTTTTTTTCCTTTTTTTGATAAAAAAATGCTAAATTTTAGTTTAATATTACTATATTTTATATAATTATGTATTAGTGTATACTTACAAATTATTATGTAACTATATATTATATATACATATATTATATGTAAATATATTGTATATATTTATAAGTTATAACTTGAGAGAGAGAGAATCGCATAAGTAGCCGTTGCCCGTTGTGCCAATGGGTAAGAAGTAGCTGTTGTAATATACTATACTTATATACTAAGAGAGAGTACACACACACACACATATTATACATATATAAGAGAGAGTATACTCATATAAGAGGGAGTATACATATATAAGAAATGGTATACTTATATATACTAAGAGAGAGAGTATATTAGTATATATATATACACACATATATTATACATATATAAGAGTGTATACTTATATATACATATATAAAAGAGAGTATACATATATAAGAGAGTATACTCATATATACATATATACTAAGAGAGAGAGTATATACATACATTATACATATATAAGAGAGAGAATTCTTATATATACTTATATATACTTATATACTAAGAGAGAGTATATATCTACACATATATGACATATTATACATATATAGAAATATATTATATATACATATATTATACATATATAAAAATATATTTAGTGCATTTAAGAAAGTAATAATTGAAACTAGTTTTTGTTAATTAAAGTTCTATCTGATAAAAAAATGAACTTGTATAATTGAAGTTCCCACATTAGAAGTTTGAACCATATTTAAGAAAGTAATAATAACAAGCCTTCTGTAGACCTGCTGGTCTTCATAAACACTTGGTAGACCTATGTACCGTGGATATGTATAAGGATTTAAAGTTAGCTAAACTATCAAAATCACTTCAAATAATATCTTTTGTTGTGCCCCTACGAGCCATAAACTTTGGCGTCCAATTATTCACCAATGCCTCATGAACAGTGTGAAAACATGTGGTCTTGTGGGGGCCACACCCACATGATTACAATTACCCACGAGTGGGTCTGTTCGGGTTTCGTCCTGAACGAAATTGATGAGCGGGGCCAATGCTATATATACCCTAAGAGCATCTCTAACAGCTTCCCCATCTTCTTGAAATACTCAAATTTGGAGAATATAGAGCTTTTTTTTGGTCCAACAGATTCCCCATCTCATTCCCCAAAATAGGGAAGGAGGAGAAAAAATAGGGAGCCTTCCCCAAATCTGCAGCATTCTCCAAATTTTTGGGAAGAGCTTTATTATTGTAATAAATGCGATTTTTCAAAATGGGGAAACTGTTGGAGTTAGAGCAAAAATAATTTGGAGAATATGACTTTTGTTTCTCCATTTTGGAGAAAATTTTAGGGAAGTTGTTGGAGATGCTCTTAGTACTTACGCATCACAAATAGGCTTGACTGAGAGTGCTAAAAGAGAATTTTGGGATAGATTAGATGAATTAGTACAAGAAATCTCATTTGGAGAGAAATTATTTATAAGAGGGGATCTTAATGGGCATTGGTAAGGATAACGGGTATGAGAGGATACATGAAGGTTTCAGGTATGAAGATAAGAACGATATGGGTAAATTAATTTTAGAGTTTACAATATTATATGATTTGATAATAGCAAATACACTTTTTAGGAAAAGGGATGAATACTTAATAACATTTAAAAGTGGTTTTAGTAATAATCGAATAGACTTTTTTCCCACTAGAATAGCGGATAAGTTAATATGTAAAGATTGTAAAGTTATACCAGGAGAGAGTTTAAGTATGTAACATAAATTGATGGTCTTAGACATATCTATTAAAAAGCGGAGTAGTAAAACTAAAGTGAACAAGAGACTAAGAACTAAATGGTAAAATTTAAAATGAGATAATGTTGATCTCCGTGAACACACAGTCGATGGGGTTGCGGTTCTGGTCTCCGCGCTGACGGCGAAGAGGGAGCGGATGAGAGATGGGGCCTACTACTCCTCCGACTTTATGCCCGATCCTTAGGCTGGAATTCCTGATCCTTCTGCACAAACAAGAAGAAACTCGTAGGAGGGCGGGACTCATTTCCTCCGTGGTACCTCCGACGGCCAAGTTAGCTGGTAATCTTGAGTGGGGTTTAAGGAAGAGTCCCTAGGCCATTGAGGTCCTCAAAGGGTACTCTTCTAGAGTTATTAGTCCTCTTTAGCAAAAATAAATTCAGAGCTTTTATCAATAAGTCGTAAAAAAAAAGAATCCCCCCCCCCCCTTTTCCCTTAAAAAAGACCCCCCCCCCCTCTTTTACCTTCTTTTTCTCCTTTTATAGCCCCTTGCCTCTGAGAGTTTGACTCTTGGCTTTGACTATGCACAGGAGGCGGTTGAGGGGTGAGCAGACAAGCTGCTAAGTCATCCTTCTCCTTCCAGATGTTGGCTGACGATTGAAAGGGAAATCTTTCGAGTATAGGAGAGAAATGTCTTCTCAATACCCTGGATTTGTCAGATGATGCAGGGCGGAGAATAAGCCAGCTACTGGATCATCCTTCCTCCTCCAGATGGTGGCTGATGATTGGAGAGGAAGTCATTCGAGCCCAGGAGAGCATCATGACGATCTCTGGGAAGTGACTTGTGAGGAGAATAAGCGGCTTATGTAAGAGCGGAGATCTTGATGGGACTGATCGACATCTAAAGCGAGCTTAGCTGGATCTTATCCCCTTAGTAGAGACGGGTTGTTCTGTGAGTCGTCGTTTATGATTTACCGATAGTCGAGCGAGCTTCGGGTCGAGTGCATGGTCGAGACGACTGCTCGAGGAGTCGTCTTAATTTCGAGGGACCGACTGATCCCGGACTTCGAGTCGGTAATGATAACCCTTGGTCAAAAGATGACTTGTCAGCTCGGCTGACCGATAGACTTGCCATTGGCTGGGGTTTTGGGCCTCTAAGCTGGTTTGGACCACGGCCTCTTCAATCAATCTTTTGATATCTTAATCTTTAGACGGTCAATTACCATAACAGATAATTTAATACATTTTGAATATAATATAATGGAAGAATATATGTGAAACATAAATAATGAGACTAATGTTATGTGGAATAACATGTCTTCTTATATTAGAAAAGGGGCTAAAGATATACTAGGAGAATCTAAAAGTTATATATTAGACGGTAAGGAGAGGTGATTGTGGAATGAGAGTGTACAAAAGGTTATTAGAGAGAAGAAAATTTTGTATAAAGAGTGGCAAAAGTGTAGGAGTAGGAAAAACTTAGAAAAATATAAACTAGTAAGGAAGGAAGTAAAAAGAGTGGTTAGTGAAAATAAATACAAGGTTTATGAAAAAAATTCATAAGAAGTAAGAATCTAAGGAGGGAGAGAAATATATATATAAGCTTGTTAAGATTAGAGAAAGGAAGAGTGGATATTTGGGTAATATTAGGTATATTAA